CCCCAAAACCCCAAAACCCCAAAACCCCAAAACCCCAAGAAGATGAAGTGAGAAATTATCTATCAGATATAATAATAAATCAATATAAAAAGCAAAAATATTTCTTAACGTTCATCTTGTAATGATGAAGGTTAGTTCTTATATTGTAGGGCGGGTTACAACTATATAAATAACGCAAGCAAGTTCTGCTTGAGTAATGAAATTGGCTGTCCTAAAAATACAACTCTAGATGCAGATGGCTATCCAATATTCCAATCGTGTCCGTTAGGTCGCAAACATGCAACTCTTCAAATTATTGCTTTTCTTGTCTTACTGAAAATTGATTTTTTTTAAGAAGATTTTTTTCTGATAATTATTTGAGCAATGGAACTTGCATGTTAAACCAGTGTACTTCTGGAAAATTTACAGTTACAATGCAAAGTTTATCACTTTTTTTCTACGAATTGTAGCAGCTGTAGTAATGCTAACAATTAATGCTATAAATGTTTGAATGGATCATATTTAGATATCTCGACAGGTGTTTGCAAATTAACATGTCCAATAGGTACTTATCAGAATGAATCATAAGGAACTTGCCAAAAGTGCCAAGCTAATTGTAAATAATGTTTAAACAACAATTTTACACGTAATGAATGTAATTCCACTACTAAATCTTCTAAATAGCTCTTGTGTAAAGAGCTGCCATACTTAGGTTACTTTCAAAATACTGTGAAAAGGACCAATGAAAAGTGTAAGAATAGCTGTTTAATGTGCGTTGGCAGTGCAACTGATTGTATAACATGCAAACCCGGCAGCTTGTACTCTAATAGATAATGCTAAGATTCATGCTTAGATTAAGAATATGCCTCTGTTGCTGGATTTTGTTATCCCTGCGACCCAGCTTGTAAGGTATGCAATGGTTCATTAGATTCTATGTGCTAGAAGTGCAACATATGCAAGCCAGGATATGATTTCTTAAAATCTCTTAATTGTAGTGGGGAGTGTTTCTATAAATCAGGAGTCAACAGATCACTTGAATTACCCCCAAATCCTTAGTTAATTCCAACTGATTTTGATCCTATTGAATTATCTTCTGAATTATGGTTTAAAGCTAGAGATTTGATGAGTCTTGAAATTTAAGTTTTATAGGGGCTAAGTCCATATAAAATTAGAAAAAGAAGTCAAGAGCTTTTGATCACTCTACAGTATTAAGGAATTTTACAATATTGCAACTCAGAGAATAATCTTACCAATAATGTTTGATATCGTATTGCTTTCACTTTAAGTGAAAAAACTTTGATCTTAGCTTGCTATTAAAATGGAAATTTATTTTTATAATTCAGTCTCTGTTGGATTCCATAAATTCACAATATTCTGATCAAGACCTATACAATTTATAGCGTCTAATATTGTAAAGCCTTCTGAAATGAGTTTAGGAGGATCAAATGATTAGAAATAATGGGAATAAAGCTTTGATGGATATATTAAGGAATTTAGATTGTGGAAAGTAGCAAGAACATCTTTCCAAATAAAATACTTCAGAACAGTGTCATTTAGCTAAGCTTCAAAAGATATGATTTCATATTGGAGATTAGATGATAAGAATGATGGAACTACCTTTGTATTTTATCAAGCTACTTCAAACAAACTTATAAAATATGATCCTAGACCAAAGAATTTTATCAAAGATTTAGTTGAATTTAGAAAAACTTATCTAAAGCTATGCAATGAGGGTTAATATTCTTACTATGATGAAACATTAGGGTATTAAACTTGCTTGATTTGTGATAAGTTGCATAAAAATTGCATAGGTAAAGCATCTTCTCATTGTATTTAATGCAACTTTCCTTACAAACTAATATAAGAATATTTCATTTGCAAAATTGTAGAATCTTGTCCTGAAGGAGAATAAATGGACAGATAGACAGGTTTTTGCTTTAAATGCAATCCTAATTGCAAAGAATGCTTTGAAAGTCCAAATAACTGTTCAATAAGCAAGCAAGGTGCATTTAGATAAAAATAGTTATGTTGCTGCCTGTCCTGTAGGGATGTATGGAAATTTGAAATCATAACTTTGCTACTTTAATCCCAATATTGACTATATTAGTCAGCCAACAGAATCAATTATACTATTTGGGTCATTTATTGTTGTCAAAGGTAATTTCAGTATGCTCAATATTTAAATTACTCAATAAGTAACCATAAGAAACTTATATTTATGGTTGGAAAGTAATCAGACTTTCAGATAACTTGGATGTCACAGTAGATTTTTGTCATTTTTAACTTCTTATAAATTTGCTTATGTATTTTAAAGACATTCGTAAAATGCATTTAGACAATAGTATCATTCAAGCTTATAATTACTATTCACTTACGTTATTTGTCTAAGGATTAACTGATTACTATTCTAATCTTTACTCAGTGATGGTCAGTACATTCTATATAGGATCCTCACCTAGGAATGGCAAAAGTTAAGTATAGCCTTAAGAATAAGATTTTATTCTGTAAGCTATAGAATTTATATTTTGATAAAATTTGCAGAAAATCTATAACAAATAGTAAATTATCAAAACATTTCTAATAATGTATTTGAAGTTAGTTTATACAATTCATCAGATAAAGCCTCAGTTACTATCAAGAATCTTTATAACGGATTTGATTTCTATTTTCCTCATTATGATAATTAAAATTTTTCAGAATTTGCAAATTACTTTAACTCACTAAGTCCTTATAAAGCTAAATAAAAACTCATTAGATCATAAATGCTTCAAAATAGTAAACTTTCCTGCTTATATTGGGATAATAATAATTGGACTTACGAGTTCTGCCTACTTATAGGATTAGAAAAAATTCACATAAAATGCAGATGTAATTATCTGTCAAGTTTTTCTCCAACATTTGTCACACCCAGATAAGGTATTACTCCTGATGATATTTATACAAATAAGTATTCATAATCAAATATAGAAAATAGAGAAAAAATAAAAATAGAGGAACTTATAGTTCCATTCAATAAATACTTCAAGAATCTTGAGGAATTGCATCAACATAAAACTCCAAGTTTAATAGATTTTCTATTCAAACCTGGTGCGTACATAGTGATAGTGTTCTGGTTTATGTACATTACCTCTCTATTTTACTATTCTGGCAAGGATAGAATCAAGAGAAGTAAAATGACTAAATTGTAGATTAAAGATGATCTTGCAGAAATTAAAGATGATCATATTTAGAGATTTGATGAAGTTATTAAAGAGTTAATGGCTAGAGATACATCATGTTCTTAAGAAAGTCCTCAAAAACTAGCTAGAAACTAGAGTAGCGAAAAGAAATAAAATTTTAATAAAATAGACAAGACAGAGTAAACTGTTAAAGATAAGAAATGTCTTCATTATTGAATCTAACAATTGATAACATAAATATTCCAACTTAAATAAATGCAATAGAATTGAATTCTCCAACTTTGCATCTTACAAGTTTTGATCTACTAGAAGATCTTCAAAAGTAAAAATTGAAAAGAAGAGCAAAAAAAAGGGTATTTGGAAAAGTAGGAAATTTACAAGAAAGAGCTAAAAGATATTTTTCAAGGCACGTAAGTTTAATTTATTTATTGAATTTTAGAGTATATAGGGAAAGTATTAAACTCTATTAGAATGCTTATAACTATTGTATGGGTTGGATGATGATTATAGTGGCTTTATATTTCTTAGATATGTTAGTATTTACTTTAGGATTTTCGGGTTTTTAGCATTTGAATATTATATTTTCTCGAAATGTAGATTTTGAGATTATTAGATATTACAAGAATTTAAGATATGATGATGAAGATTTATAATGTTAATCTACAGAAAGAAGATATATTTTAGATAATTTCAGACTATCATTCGTTTGTAAAAAGGATAGATTTAATAGTTATATTATATAAAAAATGAAATTTGATTTCTTTGAATTTATAATTAAAACACCATATTTTTAGCCCTAATCTTCTTGGGGTTGGGGTTTTGGGGTTTTGGGG